GGGCCCCCAGGCTGGAGCAGGGGAGGAGTGTGAGGAGTCCTGCCCTGGGGAGGAAGGAGCAGCAGGGACAGCGTGGGATGAACTGACCCCAAGCCCCATTCCCCATCCCCCTATGCTACTTGGGAGGAGGAGGGAGAGAATTCAGGAGTGAAGATTGGAGGCGGGGGGCGGGGGGAAGGGGTCTTAAGATTCAGGGAGGGTTTTTTATCCTCTCCTACTCTGATTTGACTGGTAATAAATTAAACTGATTTCACCAATTCCAGCCTGTTTTGCCCATGACGGTAACTGGTGAATGGTCTCTCCCAGTCCTTATCTCAACCCATGAGCCTTTTGATACATTTTTCTCTCCTCTGTCCTGTTGAAGAGGGGAGCAATAGAGTGGCTTTGGTGGGCACCTGGCATCAAGCCAGGGCCAACCCATCACACCGTGGTATCCTCTGCTGCACGTGTCTCCTTGTCCGTAGTTCAACATGCGTTTCACCACCAAAAACTGAGCTTGGCTGATCAGACAGGAGGCAGAAACCCTGACACAAACTGTTCCCCCTCCTCATCCCACTCAGCAGAGCCCACCAAGGTGACTTACTGAAGGCAACGCTCTCTCCTGGCAATGTCACGAAGCTTAAGGGCAATGACGGCCTATAGTGGTAGAAGATTTATGGTGGGATGCAGAGGGAGGAGAACTTGGGGATGGCACAGCGCAGAACCTAGGGAATGTATGAAACCTCATATGGGATGTTTAGGGGAATAGACATAGGAAGGGGCAAGGGAGGAATCAGGGGAGGAACAAGCATGTGAAAACAGAAAGGGCGAAAAGGGTTGGGTGGCGTGTAAGCTGTGCTGGGTGTTCTGGCCTGCCTGAGCACCATGTTTCATCACTGCAGTCTGTCCTATACTCTTAGTAAATCACATTTCTTCTGTGTGACTGTGCTCCCCATACCAAGCCTGTGTTTTTGGCCAGTTGGTGAACCTCAGACTGGACCAGCTGCTCAGAAGGAGAGGAGACCTTGATGCCTAGTATGGCAAAGCCATGGAGGGTCTGAGGGACCTGAAGGTCTGGGTGCTGGCCATCAGAGACCCATGCTCAGAGTCTGTGAATGTGCACGCACACATGCGTGGGTGGTTGGCCATCTCCCAGGTGGACCATCCAGTGCACAGGTCAGGCAGAAGCGGACCCTAGGCAAGGTTTCCCCAGGTGTCTCTCTGCAGAACCAGGGATGGGCCATGCCCTGGTTCCTACAGTTCATGAGACTCAGCTACCTCTAAGGTAAAAACCCCTTCAGCCATGGCTTACACTGATGGTCTGCTGCCTGACTGCCTTGCCATGTGATGCGTCCTGATGGGTAAGCCTGCGTCCTTATCTGTGGGTAAGCCTACAATTGGGGTCTCCATTTTAGAGGTCTGTGGCACATTACTTTAATGTCTGGACTGAGAGTGGGCTGGAGAATGTGAGGGCAAGGGTATGATCCTCTGTCTGATAAGAATCACAGAACCACAGAATGGCAGGGGTTGGAAAGGACCTCAGGAGATCATCTAGTCCAACCCTTCTTCTCAAGCAGGCTCACCCAGAGCAGGGGGCACAGGATGGCGTCCAGGCAGGGGTTGAATACCTCCAGAGAAGGAGACTCCACAGCCCCCCTGGGCAGCCTGGGCCAGGGCTCGGGCACCCTCACAGTCAACAAGTTCTTCCTCCCGTTCAACTGGGACCTCTTCTGCTTCAGTTTGTGCCCATTGCCCCTTGTTCTGGCTCTGGGCACCACTGGGAAGAGTCTGGCTCCGTCCTCGTGACCCCCACCATTGAGATATTTGTATGTGTTGATGAGGTCCCTCTCAGTCTTCTCTTTTTCAGGCTGAACAAGCCCAGCTCCCTCAGCCTTTCCTTGTAGGGGAGATGCTCCAGTCCCTTTATCATCCTTGTTGCCCTCCTCTGGACTCTCTCTAGGAGTTCCTCATCTTTCTTGAACAGGGGGGCCCAGAACTGGACACAGTGCTCCAGGTGGGGTCTCACCAGGGCAGAGCAGAGGGGGACAAGAACCTCCCTTGCCCTGCTGGCCACGCTCCTCTTAATGCACCGCAGGATGCCATTGGCCTTCTTGGCAACCAGGGCACCCTGCTGGCTCATGGTCAGCTTGTCGTCCACCAGGACTCCCAGGTCACTCTCAGCAGAGCTGCTTTCCAGCAGGTCAGCCCCCAGCCTGTACACTGGTGCATGGGGGTTCAACCTCCCCAGGGGCAGCACTCGACACATGCCCTTGTTGAACTTCATCAGGTTCCTCTCTGCCCAACTCTCCAGCCTGTCCAGGTCCCGCTGAATGGCAGGGCAGCCTCCCGGCCGATCAGAACCCTCTGAGCCCTGCCATTCAGCCAGTTCCCCATCCACCTCACTGTCCACTCATCGAACCCACACTTCCTGAGCTTCCCTATGAGGATGTTATGGGAAACAGTGTCAAAAGCCTTGCTGAAGTCAAGGTAGACAACATCCACCGCTCTCCCCTCATCTACCCAGCCGGTCATGCCATCATAGAAGGCTATCGGGTTGGTCAGGCATGATTTCCCCTTGGTGAATCCGTGCTGGGTAATCCTGATCACCTTCTTTTCCTCCACTTGCTTGGAGAGAACGCCCAGAATGAGCTGTTCCATCACCTTTCCAGGGACGGAGGTGAGACTAACTGGCCTGTAGTTCCCTGGGTCCTCCTTCTTGCCGTTTTTGAAGACTGGAGTGGCATTGGCTATCCTCCAGTCCTCAGGCACCCATTCCCAATCCCAAACAAAGAAGAGACACGTCCTTAGAATTGGAAAAGCATATTTTTGGATGTCAGTGTAGCAGAAAAGAGGGCTGCTGTCCCTGAGGAATCCCAGCAAGGCTGTGAAGTGGGGCATTGGGCAGCTTAGGTATCCCACAGAGAATATGGCAAATGAGGCCAAATGAGCAGGGAGCTAAGCCAGGGGGTGGCATGGAGAGGGGCGCTCTGCCCCCACTCCTTCTGGGCATCACCTGATAATGCCTCTGTGTCTCCCAAGGGGGAATCTGCAGCAAGAGTCACTGCTGGAGTTTTGTCTGATCTCAGCTCCGCAGAGCCCAGACTCTCAACAGATCACTTTGTTACTGAATTAACTCTGCAGTGTTGGTTTAATTCCTCAAGCAGGCACTGATTACAGGACTAATGTGGGTCCTGCCCTATGGTGGGGGAGAAATTGCCAGATGTTCGCACTGGCGGAGCCCAGCTTGGCTGAGGCCTCAGCCAAACTTGACCTCAAATGTTGGGCCTTAAACGGGGCAAGAGAAGGGTGGACCCCCAGGGTTTGGGGGGCCCTTGAAGGGCACCCAAGGGGCACTGAGGCCCAGCAAAAGCTTTGGGTCCTGGCCCTTTTTGGGGTGGAGAAATCACCAGCTCTTTGAGCTTCCAGAGCCCGGCTCGGCCGAGGCCTCAGCTGACCTTGACCACAAACATAGGGCCTTTAGGGGGGCAAGAGAAGGGCGGAGCCCCAGGGTTTGGGGAGCCCTTGAAGGGAACCCACCCAATGGGCGCTGAGGCCCAGCAAGAGGTTTGGGTCCTGGCTCCTTGGGTGGAGAAGAAATTGCTGGACGATTGCGCTTCTGGAGCCCAGCTTGGCCGAGTACTCATCTGACCTTGACCACGAATGTTGGCCCTTTAAGGGGGCAAGAGAAGGGTGGGGCCCCAGGGTTCGGGGGGCTGTTGAAGGGTGCCCAACAGGCGCTGAGGCCCAGCAAGAGCTTTGGGTCTGACTGTTTGAGTTTGACCATCTGGACTTTGACCTTGAGTGACCCCTGGGGGGGGGCCCTCTGATGTCACATGACACCCTCCCCCCCGCACCCTGGATTCCAACTTTGACCTTGTGTGACCCCCGGGGGGGGTGGGGGGTGGGGCGGCGTTGATGTCACGTGACTCCTCCCTGCCTCGGCCCCCAGGCCCACACTTTGACCTTGAGTGAGCCCTGGGGGGGCGCTGATATCACGTGACACCCACCCCTGGACCACAGGCCCCGACTTTGACCTCGAGTGACATCTAGGAGGCACCTCAGACATCACGTGAACCCTGCCCCCCAGCCCTGACTTTGACTTTGGGTGACCGCGGGTGGGGTGTGTCATGTGACCCCACCCCCCCTCCTCCTGTCTAGGCCCCGACTTTGACGTCGGGTGACCCCCCCCTGCCTGCCCCTGACATTGACCTTTGGTGACCCCGGGGCGGTGTCATGTGACCCCACCACCCCACCCCCTCCTCAAACTTTGGCCTTGCGTGACATCTGGGGGTGTGTGTGTCACGTGCCACCACCCTCCCCCCGCCCCTGACTTTGACCTCGGGTGACCCCAGGGGGGAAATGCGGCCCCTTGAGAGGAGCCCGGGCAGGAGCAAACACTGGGCGGGAGCTGCAGCCCCTAACGAGAAGCCTGGTCATGAGCAGGCTCCTGGCAGGAGCTGCGGCATTTGGCGAGGAGCCTGGTCAGGTCCAGGCTCCAGGCGGGAGCTGTGGCTTTTGGAGAGAGGCTGGGTCAGGAGCAGGCTCTGGGTGCGAGCTGCAGCCCCTGGAGAGTGTCATGGTTGGGAGCTGGCTCCTGGAGTGGACCCCAATCGGGAGCAGGCTCCAGGCGGGAGTTGCGACCCCTATAAAGTAGCCCAGTAAGGAGCATGCTCCCAAAGGGATCTGCAGCCCATGGAAAGGAGCCCACTCAGAAGCAGGCTCCGGGTGGGATCTGTGTCTTTTCTCGAGGAGTCTGGTCGGGAGCAAGCTCCCGGTAAGAGCTGTGGCCCTCTGAGAGCAGACCAATTCGGGATCAGGCTCCGTGTGGGAGCTGCAGCCCCTGGAGAGGAGCCCGGTCGTGAGCAGACTCTGTGTGGGAGCTGCTGCCCCTAGACAGGATCCCGGTCAGGAGCAAGCTCCAGGTGGGATCTATGGCCCCTGGAGTGGAGCCTGGTCAGCAGCAGGCTCCGGGCAGGAGCTGCCGGCCCCTGGAGAGGAGCCTGGTTGGGAGCAGGCTCTGGGCAAGAACTGCGGTCCCTGGCAAGGAGTCTGGGCGGGAGAAGGCTCTGTGTGGGAGCTGCGGACCTTGGAGATGAGCCCAGTCGGGAGCAGGCTCTGTGTGGGAGCTGCAGCCCCCGGAGGGGAG